TAAAAAATTCACAACTTAAATATATATCTATGAATATATAAAAAGGCAAAACATATAGCTGTGAATAGTATGTAAAATCCCGCCTAAATATTCGTTTTTACTGATAATTAATTTATTAAAAAAAATCGTAAATTCCCACCCAAAGCACAAATTGATTACATATATATATGTACAAAAAGAGGTTTGAAAATCCGGGTAAATCTCTATCTATAGATATTTTTTTGTCCATATCTATTAAACTACAAAATCTTTTTAAAGTTTGGAAAGAATCTCATATTATGTGAATTCCTGGTAAATACTTTTTTCTCCATATTTATCTAACTACAATATCTTTTTAAAGTTTAGAAAGAATCTATCTTTTTAAAGTTTGCACTCAATCGATCCCTTATATAAACCCCTCCCCACCCAATTACAAAACCCTAAGTTTGAGACAAAAAAAAAAAAAATCAGCACAAATAAAAAAAAAATCACAAAAACTCCTAAATAAAAAATTCAAATAAAGCTATCGAATCCTAGGGTTTACTTCGACATAACGATCAGCAGCCCCGCCGTTGAATCGTGATGGAGCTCTTCGTCGACGTCGTCACAAAGACCGACGAGAACTTTTGCGCCCTATGCACCAATGAGAAGGACGTCGGCAAATCTGGCAAGCCCCTCCACCACAAAGGGTCATCCTTCCATTGTATAATCCCCAATTTCATTTGTCAGAGCAGTGACTTCACTGCGGGTAACAACGAAAAGTCGATCTACGACGCCAAGTTTACCGACGATAACATCATGAGAAAGCACACCGGGACCTGTCAATGGCGAAGGCTGTTCCGGGGACAAATGACACGTACTTTTTCATCTGCACGACAAGGACGAAGTGGCTTGACAACAAGCACGTGGTGTTCGGGCAGGTGGTGGAGGAGTACGACATATTAAAGGCGGTGGAGAATGTCAGGTCGGGGAGCCATCGGACCTCGAGACGAGTGGTGATCACCGACTGCAACCAACTCCAGATCTGATGGTTGTGTGTCGTTTAATTTGAAGTTTGTTGGAGACTATTTTCATAACTACCTAATAATTGTCTTCTGATTTGTTAAATTTGAAATTAAAAAATAGTTTGTTGGATACTTTTTTTCATAACTACCTAATAATTTGACTTTTGATTTGTTTAAATTTGAAATTAAAAAATGAAGTTCATGTCACGTTCGTAAGACTCTGGAAATCATATAAGAATTTTATATTATATGATCGATTGGTTCCTAAAAACTTGACGCATATATACAATCATTTATCAAATTTAAAATTTTAAGATTACAAATAAATATTTCTTCAAATGGTCATATTTATTTATTAAAGTTTTAAGATTACTATTAAATATTTTTTCAAATGGTCATAGTTATCCCAACACATTTTATCACACTAAAAATAATATATTATGATTTATTACACTATAAATAATATATTATAATTTAATTTTTTTCACACAATTGTTTAAAAATTTTAATTTGTTGACAAGAAAGTTTGCCACATATTCAAATAAAAAATATTGTGTATAGGGAACTGTTCAACAATATATGATTTTTCATACTCTGTATCTAATTTTTTAAAATATGTTTAAACTTTAGTAATTTTATTTAAAAATAAAGTTTTAAATAGGTTTTGAGGAACAAGCCTCACCGTGCATCGCACGGGTTGCTCACTAGTTAGTTTTAATTTTAACACCTGAAAATACAAATGGACTCATATTCACCCAAACTAGTACAGATCCCGTGCGATGCACGGGGTGCACAAAATGAAGGCTATTTATCAAGTTTTATAATTATATAAATGAATAAAGAAAAATGTATAGGATATATATAGTACGTGACCTGTAATAGGCCAAAATGTGAACACGGGTGATGCACGGGGTGCACAATTTTAAGGTCATTTATTAGTACAGAGTCTGTGCGCTGCACGGGGTGCACAATTTTCTAATATGTGTAATACAAATACATACCGTATGCACGGGACAGAAGCACTAAATGAGTTATTTCCACATAGCTTGCCGGTTAAGTAGCTCCTGAACACGGGTGCACAATTTGTAGTACGTAATATAAAATCAGAACAGATTTCCATACAATTAGATAATAAATAAAGCCTTTTTATTTTAATAAAGATTTTACGTACTTTTTTTTACTTATCAGATGTTATGGGATTTTTTTCGTTAAACCGATTTTATCGGATATGATACAAATACAATTAGAGGATTACACAAAATCAGAACAAATTTCTATACAATTTGATCATAAGAATGAATTAGATAAGGAAAAAAAGAAATTAGATAAAGAATTTTGAATCTACCTTTTTTTAGTATAGATAGACTTTACGTACAAATTTTGACTTCACCGATTTTATAAGATTTGTTTTGACAAAATCAAAGATGAAATACTGAAGACTGTTTCTATCAACATTTACAATGTGTATTTAATTTTTTTTTTTGGCAAAATATTCTTTTTAAGTGTGATATATAAATATTAAAAACTCTTAAAATATTTAAAAATACTTAAAATATTTTATAACATCTATAAAAGCATCTAAAATATTCTATATTATTCACAAATAATTTTTGAAGCTACCTAAATTTTTCTAAACTACCCGTAAGGAAAATATGTCTAAAAATTCTTCATTTAACCTTCATATATGTATATATATAGAGAGAGAGAGAGAGAGAGAGCAAATGTGTAAAAAAAAATTATACAAATAATATTTAAAAGTATCTAAAATATTAGTAATGAGACAGGTGAAATTAATATTTTTAAAAAATCTATATAGATAATGGATTTATAGTAGTAATTAGACTTTTATTTATTTACATTTAAAGTTGTTACGATAGATGAGGGATGTGATTTTTTTTACTCGTGGAGATGGAATTTTATAAGCTGGGTTATGAAATTTTCTTAAACTCGTCCATGCGATGAGTTGTTTAAGTTGGGTATATAGATTAAAAATTGTACAATAAAAAAAGACTTTCATAAATCATTTGATTTGGTATTTTCTGAGAGCTTCATTAATTTAAAAGTGTAAAATAAATAAATAAAAAATGTACAACTGAAAAAGTTACAACCAATTGTACGGAGAATTAAACTAAATCCAATTTTGTAGGATGTATTAAATATTGATTAAATTTTATATGTAAAATAAAATAAAAAAAATAACTGGAATAGTTGTAAGTGTTGCAATATTTTATATTTAAAAAAAATAAAAAATCTTCATTTACGTATTGCATACCTACATTTTAGGAACTACATAGATATTCATAAATTAATATTGCATACCCAATATTTTAGGAACTAATTAAATGCTAATTTGATTTGCATACCAAAAATATTAGATGCATTAATTAAATGATTGATAAAAATAGAAAATCATTAATTAGGGTTGACTATTCTACATACTACATTTAGTAAATAGTACCCCCTTTAATATAAGTATAGATTAATTCATTTTTTTTTTTCAATTCAGAGCTGCTAATTAGTTATATTATTGGACTTATTTAGTGTTGAGGTTAGTTTATATCTAATTGAATTAACGATAGTTGATCATCATGTTGTTTTGAATTTTTATCACTAATAGATTATATTAACTAGTATTTTGATAAATAATTAAAAGCTGAAAAATCTGTATAAAATAAAAACTAATCTATATATATATAAAAAGGTTTGATTATTTTTTAAATAGTAACTATGTCCCTCCAAAAAAAATCTACTATTTTAAGAAATTAATTTAACAATTTATGGTATATATTAAATGATCACTTATGGAAATTACAGCTAATTATTAAGGAAGTAATTACGTCATATTTTAAGATACCTTAATTACTCAAATCATGTGAATTAATTAATATATGGTATAAAGTGTACGAATTTATTTTTGGTATTGATGGTTATTTCTATAGAAAATAAATCAATCAATATATGATATAAAGTGAGCAAATTTATTTATGGAGGTGTATTTAATTAGGATTTCTAAGGATTTTTAAGAATTTAGAAATCCTGGTGTATTCAATTTAGATTTGTTAAGATTTTTTAGGACTTTTAAAAATCCTGGGGTATTCAATTGAGATTCTAAAAAGTCTTATAAAATCTTGAGGTATTTAATTTATTTGACATTAAGAATTATCAGACGTAAGATTTCATAGAATTCTCCCAAATCTGAAAATCCTAAAAAATCTCAAATCTTAAAAAGTTTTTAAAATGTCACTTAAAATTGCAATTGAATACACCCTCTAGGTTATTTGATGATTGTTTTTTGGTAGAAAATTTGTTGAAAGCTTAATCAATATGCGGTGTACTCTTTTTTGTAATGCGCAGACCAATATATTGGTTTTTAGGCGTGGGTTTCGATTTTTTATGAAATTAACATAATAAAATTACCGTAAATTTCATATAACATTTTCAATAAATTAATATAGTTAAATTGTATTGCATATTGGTTCTATATTTTAATTATAAATATTATTTAATTAATATTTTTAATTTATAAATATTAATGAATACCTCTTATCCGTGCATCGCACGGGATTCGTACTAGTAACATTGAATTAGTATTTATATTAGCTTTATTTATTTATTAATATAGGTCTTTATAATGAATTTATTGTAACAATTGAATCAATTCAAGAATTACCCACAAACAATAATAGCAAAACTAGAGCTCAGTATCAAAACCCACGGACCAGACCCAAACCGACCCGACTTGGCCCAACCCAATGAATTATTCAAGAATAGATACCATCACTTAATTTGTTCATAAAACATGACAATAAAGCAAACCCCACCTCCAAAACCCAAGTGCTTATTATAAATAGATTGCAAGAAAGCACTTCATTTCCTTGGGACAAACACAATTTCTTCAAGTGTTTTCCTCTCTAGAGCCTTTTTTATTCTTTACAATCTTTTGTTCTCACCAGAACATCTATTTAGGCCTAGGCTNAAGAATAAATAAAAATAATTAAAAAAAAAAAAGAGAAAAAAATGGAATCAAAAGGGTGTTTTGGTAATTTACTTGAAAAATCCAAGCCTTACATAGCCATGATATGCTTGCAATTTGGTTATGCTGGAATGAACATCATCACTAAAGTCTCTCTTAATAAAGGCATGAGCCATTATGTGCTTGTGGTCTATAGGCATGCCTTTGCTACTATTGTCATTGCCCCATTTGCCCTTGTTCTTGAAAGGTGCCCCTCAAAATTTCCTTTTTTTTTTGGTAATTTACAAACTTTAATGTAAATAATGATCTAATACTTATGATGGTTATTCATTTATTTGCTATAGGAAAGTGAGGCCTAAGATCACATTCACAATTTTCATGCAGCTGTTTGTCTTAGGACTTCTTGGGTGAGTTTATTAATCTCTCTCTCTATATATATCTATACATTTCTATTCAATTTTGTGCGGTTCTGTACAATACCATACCGAATTACAAAAAAAAAATAATGAAAAAATTGAAAATTTCACTGAGAAATCGAACTGCACCACACCGAAGTGCACGGTCGAGCTTGATTTTTTCGGTTTCGCAAATTAAAAACAAATGAATATTCAATTTCATATAGAAAATTTAATTGATATTTGATACAAATATGATGATTTTTTATTTATTTATTTTGCAGGATGGAGAAATTGGACTTGAAGAAATTGAGGTGCCAAGCAAAAATAATTGGGACAATAGTAACAGTTTGTGGGGCCATGTTGATGACATTGTACAAAGGCCATGTTTTGAACTTGTTTTGGTCTAATTACATTCATACTAACACACAAAATAATTCTAATAATGTCCAATCTCAAGACTCTGAAAAAGATTGGTTTAAGGGCTCAATTCTCCTCATCTTTGCCACACTTTCTTGGGCTGCTTTCTTCATCCTTCAGGTAATTTAATTTTACGTACAAATTTTTATGTGAGACAGTCTAACCGTTAGGCGTTAGGCGGGTCACTAGTCATACTTTCTTAACAAAAATATGCAAATTTGATAAAAAAAACATATGCAATTTTGTTGATCTTTGAGTATGATTGTCTAACTGTTAGGTCACCCTAATAGTAGTCTTGTTGATTAACGTAAATCAAGATTTTTAGGTCTAATGTACAAAAATTATAGACAGTTTGCTTGATTTTATTTGCTTTTTTGGATGCTTTATAGGCAATTACATTGAGGAAATACACAGCTCAGCTTTCACTAACAGCAATAGTGTGTTTTTTGGGAACACTTCAATCTATTGCTGTGACATTTGTTATGGAGCACAGGACAAAAGCTTGGGCTATTGGTTTGGACATGAATTTATTAGCTGCTGCTTATGCTGTAAGAATTCACTTTCATTTCTTTAAATTTTATTTTATTTTACTTTTTTGTAATAAAGTTACAGGCTTTATGAAATTTTTAGAAAAAGGGATAACGAAAATTTGTGTAATTTTTAATTTTTTTGATGCAGGGTATAGTTTCATCTGGTATTGCTTACTATGTGCAAGGTGTTGTGATGCAGAAAAGAGGGCCTGTTTTTGTCACAGCATTTAGTCCATTTATGATGATTATTGTGGCAATTATGGGCTCTTTCATCTTGGCTGAAAAGATTTATGTTGGAGGGTAATTTTTATTTTTATTCTTTTATTTATTTATTTATTTTATATAATTTTCTTTGTTATTAATCTTATATTTATATGATCTGGTTTCTAATAAATCTGAATTTTTTTATTAACTAAAACAGGGTTCTTGGGGCAGTGTTGATTGTAATTGGGCTGTACTCAGTTTTGTGGGGAAAATACAAGGAATATAAAGAGAATGAGGCAGAGGAAATTCCAGAGCCTGTGAAAGGGGATATAAATAAAAATGCAATAATAATTGAGGATATTGAAGCAAATATTGGTGCTCAGGTCCAGAAAAAATGAAGCAAAAAAAAATATGAATGAGCCTGTCATGCAGTACACAGTTGTACTGTGCAAGTCCCAAGAGCTTCAGGGAAGAGTAGTAGAATGAGACTATGAGAGCATAGATAAATATAATCTTCTCTTTTGTTTTCATTTTANATTTGAAGATCAATTTTTGTGTCCTTTTTTGAGTAATTAAGGAATTGTAATGTTTATGTACTAATTCCGATGAAAAATAAACCTAATCTCCCTTTATTGGGGTTGATTGAATAGAGAAAGTGATGTTCAAGTTAATTTAATATTGGCAAAAGTCATCCAAGTCTATTCTCATTTTGTAAACCTTAAAAAAACATTTGTAAGCAGAAAATAAATTATGCCAGTAGCCTTAGTGAAGAATAAAGAACATAGATTATGCTCCTAAACAAGTTTAACCTACCTACCAAGAATCTTTGGTGTTGGTTAGAATTATATGTGCCCACTCTAACTGTTGGAAAATTACTAATAGGGTCCATTTGGTTGGATGAATTCTACTTGATATCACACCCATTTTATAACATATCCATTCTATTAACTTGTTTAGTTACAATAAATAAGTCTTTGAAATAACTCAATAAGTCATGGTCCGATAAATTATTAACATCTTTTAGACTTTCAGTATTATGTATCACACTTCTAAGGTGAAATATGTAATTCATCCTTGTTTTACTTTTTAAGACGACGACGGTCTGGACTAAGAAGAAGGCGATAAAGAAATCAAGAGCATTAATCTTGTTCTGTGTTTGGGGCAAATTATGCAATTTTAATTTAATTAATTTTAATTTAATTTGAAGGGTAGGAAGTAATTTAACCTAAAGGGTACAATTATCAACTTTAAACCAAACAAGTTAATGGGGTAAATTGAATTCATCGTATTCTTTGATTTTATTAAGATGATTATATCATGTCCAATCAACATTTGACAACCAAACCCACCCTTAAACAGAAACTTTTATAAATGTCTAACATAAGACAACTCAACAACACTATTTGTGTATTATAATTTACATTGGAATTGTTCAATTACCAAATGTGGACTCATTATATCGTGTTTAATTATCATATATCGAGATCTCGTGATCTCTCAACAATTATAATGCATTTTATCATAAGCTTTTGCCTTAATCAATATATATATATATATATATATATATATATATATATATATATAATAAGGCATGGCCACCTTGAGTAAAACAGAAGAATTGTAATCTCCCTATATGTTAATTCAAAACGTGCTGAGTCTAAGTGGCATGGTAGCATGCTTCGGGATCTTATGTGGCAAAATTACATACTTCGTTATTAGACTTGAGTAGATTTTAATTTAATTCCAATCCAAAAATACTTAGATCCGGATTACAATAAATATGTTGATTGTTTATGATCATGTTACATGTATTAATTGCATTTTAATATTATTTTTTATTTTAACCATTGAATTAATTTGCATTTGTTATCAGTTTTACATATATAATATATCAAATTAATCATCTCTTGACGAGCTTCGATTTAACATCCATATTGTATGCATAATAAAATAACTTATTTTATAAAATATAAAATAATTTTTCTTATTAATTTTAAAATTTAAGAATAATTTCTTAACAAGCACCCGTGTAATACACGGGTGTTGTACTAGTTTATTGTAAATTTGGAACATTTTTATTAGTGCGTGGCCCGTGTGATGCACGGGAAAACAATATCACGATTGTATTATAAATTAAATATATAAATAACATTAATCATGATTTATCCATTGTTTTTAAATTAAACCGGGTTGGACACAGTCCGACCGGATGAACCGAGAATCAATTTATAACCAGTCTAGTTCGCTTGAATAACATATTTGCTCTCGAATCCATCAACACCAGTCGGTTGGACTGGTAGGATCGATACGATTTTCTAAATAAATTTTGTTATATTTAAAATTATTTTAAATAAAATTACATATTTAAATAAAATAGAAATTTATAAATTATTTATCAATTAGTTTAAACATTTGAATTTATAAATTGTTTAGATATTTAAGTAACACATTTTATTTAAATTTATTACAAAAAGTACTATATATATATATCTGTTAAAATGTTTATAAATTAAAATCTGAACAAACCACAAATGATTAAATAAAATAGCTCGATCATTCCGATGACGGTCCAGTTTTGAAAACCTTATATTTACTGTACATTAATAAATATTATTTAATTTACAATGATATATAAATATTCATAAATCATTAAACATGTTGTCATAAAAGTATTGTTAATACGATTATTTGAAGTTTGGACTATATCACATTCATGTAATAAAATATTTTCAATATCAAATTTATATTTAGGTTCAATAATCGATTTGGTGTGATCGAACTGATAAATACCTTAGTCACCTGGGACCAACCAAGTTGTGTCAATTTTTTTTACTATTTTAAATATCACCTAAAAGTAATTCAATCAACATGGGCAGTACCCTAATTCAATCACCCTATTGATCCAAAGACATTTTCTTCTTTTCTTTAAATATATTTAATTTTATTAAATAAAAATATTTTATGATTCATATAATAAATGTCTACACCAAATGATAGTATATTAAGATTATAAATTACATATCTAAAGTTGAATTAATTATTTTTACTTTATGAATATTAATAAAAAATAAACATAGTAAGTTTCAAAAAATTAAGATTAGTTGATTGATTATGCAATTTAAAGAATATTTTTAGCGTTCAATATTTTTTTTTAAAGGCACAAATATAAAGACCGAGATTCTAAAACTTTTGTTATATTTTGAATTGAGATTTTATAATATAGAGACCGAGATTTTAATGTTGTTCGTTGTTTCTAAGAAAAAAAATAAAAATAAAAATTAACACACTTAATAAATCTTAGCCGAATTTTTTAAATAATAAAATGAACTAAAGCCCGAAATTGAAGGCAGCATTTAATGCTGTATGATTTTTAAAGAAAAAAATAAAAAAAATAATAATAAAATTTACTATTTATAGACTGCATTAAATTCTGACTTATTTTTTTGCTACTATTTTTTATAAATGTTAATTCTTATTATATATACTAGTACAGATTTCGTGCGATGCACGAGGTGCACAATTTTAAGGCTATTTATCTAGGCTTATAATATAAAGAAAAATGTACGGGATATATATAGTACGTGACCCGTGCGAAGCACGAGATATATTTATTGGGAGAATATTATATTATAAGATGCAATATACAATAAAAGTTTATAATACGCAATAAAATTGTACAATGTTCAATAAAAGTTTTATAATATTCAAGTGGAGTCTTAAAGTCTCTTGTACATTAAGACTACTGACAAAATAATATTTTAATCAATGAGTTTCCTTTCATTGTAGCCAAATTGTGAATGTGATTTGAGGAGTACAACAAATCGATATATAGCTGACTTGCTTTTTTCATTGTAGTTTTTTTTCTTTTTTCTTATAATGAATTTAAAGATATTCTAAAATATAGCAAAAATTAATTTTTTTATTACAATCAGGAATGTTACTAAATATAAACTCTCAATCTATGGTGTTAATCAACGTTTAAGTCTAAAAAATTAGGAATTTTTACCTCTTTTAATCAACGTTTAAGTCTAAAAAAAATAGAGTTATTATAAGTTTTTTTCTGCATCTGTTAAAACATTAAATATGAGCATGTTAGGGCTAGCTTGTAAAATAATTAATATATTATCTCACTAAAACATTTATACTAATAAAAATTTAATTTTAGCATATAAATTTATC